GCAAACGCTGATGTGATAATACAAAATATGATCGGCAAAATGATCGACATGTGATATAAGTATGTCCACCCTGCTCAGGGAGATAGACTTGAATAATATGTAACTTAAATTTGTTTTTAAATTGAAAGTTTAAATGTAAAATTCGATTGAAGTAAGAGCCTTGATTGAAAAGGTGTGAACAAAGATTATTTCTAATCAAAAGTCCAACCCCTTGACAGTTTTGAAATGATTAGAGCTGTGAAAGAAGAATCTGCAAGGCTTATCATGAAGGTTATTATTAAAAGATCTAGCTTACAAATATGTAAAATGGGTTTCACTGAGGTCTAGAATATCGAGGTTGAAATTAATAAAAAATTGTTTGATTTGTTGAAGTCTGTTTGAAGAAACACAGCTTTGGATGTTGTATGTAGCGATGGAAAGTAAATTGGAATTGTTAATGATAGAGAAGAAATTTGTATTTGTAACATTATTAATATTAGTAGGAATCATATGGGACGTTTCGTTAAAGTTTTTTTGTTTGTGGTGTACACTCATTAAGAAATATTACTCGCTTAAATAATTGGGCTGATAGTGGCAATCAAATTTCTCATTTTAGTCTTAATTTTATTAATGAATGATTCGACAACACCAATTTTTTGAAGATTGATTAAGGAATTTGTAATGGGGACAGGTGATTCGTTAGAAATGATAGGTATTTATTTTCTTGAGTCGGTAGAGAAGTAATATCTTCAAGCATAAAGTATTTGTCATATAAAGGAAAAACGTAATTTGGGTCAATAGCATGTTTGACATCATATTCGATATCGTGCGTATATTCGAAACGATTAAGTCTAAAACCAATGTCATCTTCGTTTTGTTGATGTACTATTATATCATTTTTTATGGAAACAATTTCATCGCTGATCGATAGAAGCTTATTTTTGATATTGTTCAGTCATTCTTAAACAATTTTCAGCACATCAATAAGGTTAGGAGTAACTGTGAAAGGTGGCTTTTCATCATTCTTAGGAGGAATGTTTTAAGGGCATTGATAGATATCGTAGCACCTTTGAAATTATTATATGTATTGTTACGTGGTGGACGATAAGGCTCTGGTTTGAAATGATTGTAGAGCAGTCTGTAAGGATTTGCTGGTTTGTGGTTAGTACAATCTTTGAATTCATGGTTAGGAACACTACAGCTATGACAATGTTTGTTCAATGGTTCCATTCAGTAAAGTGTTTTTTCTTTAAATTTCTAAGACTGCATCGCCGCAGCATCAAGGTTTTCAAGTGATGCAAAATTAATAAATGCATAGGGTCTAAGTCTGTATTGTTAGTCACGTAGGATAAAACACATTCTGGCTTTGATATGTACAAGAAAATCTCCTAATTGTTGTTGGTCAGTATTAAAAGGAAGACCAGTTAGTTTTAGTTCAAATTGCTGTCTCAAAGCAATTTGCATGGGATCAAGATCAGTAGATTCAGTTCAAAGCGCAGTTTCAAGAAATTTTATGGACCAAAGGTCATTTTAGAAAGGCTTGATTATGTCAACATTATCGAAAATAATGAAGGCGATTTGCCAGGATCCACGGACGATCATTAAGAATCTGGTGATTGCTTCATATCTGAAGAAAAAATTGCGAAGTATGTCAGATTTGACAAATAAGGGAATGTCCAAAACTTTAAAGGTCCTTCCCTTTTCAGCATCTTGTTTGAGCTTTTTTGCTATAGGGTCAGCGATAGTAAATATAGGGTTATGTTGTGTTTCTTGTACTTTTGTGATATCATATGTAAGATCTTCCAATAATTAAAAATAGATTGAAAACTTTCTAAATTTGGAAATGTAGGTGATTCTTGGTAACCATTGAAACAGACGAAAAGAAAATTAATAAATGTGTATTTTTCAGCAATGGTTTTGCCTTTTGTGTCTGACACGTTATCTCTCACAAAAAAACACGTAGGAGCAGTGATAATGTTAAAAGAAATCCCTTGATATTCTTGGTCATGTGACCCTTCATTTTGTTCGATTTCTTCAGACTAAGTTTGTTTTTATTTCTCATTGTTAACAGGAGGAAGTATGTAGTCAAAGCCTGTATCTTCAAAAAGGTTGTCACTTTTAGGTTGGACGTGCATAGAGTTATTAGTGGTTTGTTTTGGAAGAAAAGTTAGGAGAGAAGTATTAGTAGAAGTAGTATCAATATTCATTTCTAAGAGCACTCCATTATGTGAAAATTGTTGTCAGTTTTTTGTTCAAATAAAGGTTCTTTGTTGTCTTTTGACATAACGTTTGTAATAATTTTTTCTATTTCTGGGTCAATATCATTTTTGTTTGGAGGTGTAGAGGTTTTTTGCTTTTTCTGGAAAATATTATTTTCGTTTATTTCAGTAGTTTTTGAGGAAGAACTTGAAGTGTTGGAGTTGTTGACTGAGATATTTCATTTATTTTGTTGATAAGTATTTTTCGTTTGTTATTTAGAAGAAGTCACTCTAGTAACTGTCATAATTTTTTTTTATGTCGATCTTTTTAGTGAACTGGACGTTTGAAAGAAAAAGTTTTTTTGATTTTGGATCAGCCTATCTCGAGATATTCGCGATCGTATTTTAAAATCCAGACTCCTTTATTTAAAGTAAAATTTATTGATTCATAATTGCAGCCGATAATACAATTGCAATTATCTCGTGATTAGATGATCCAAAATCAATGAATCATGTAATATGACGTCATTTTGACTATTTTGCGACTTTAGCCTTTAATGGTCAAAATGATTTCAATCATTTCGACCATTTCAGATATCCGAAATGATCCATTTTGACTTCATATATAATTCATTCCATTAAAAGGTAGCTCGAGAAAGTGGAATCTAACTTTTTAGATGTCACAATAAACAAATATATATACAAGAAAGGTAAGTGGACCAGCCCGTTTTGTCCATATAAATTCTATGTGTCTATAAAAGATTTCTGTCTGCTGAAAGATCTTACAACAATAAGTGACTGATTCACTATTTCAGCTTTTTTACGAGATTGTATTCTTGTTCTTACTTGAGATATAAAAACTCAATCATAAGAGTTAAGTGAATTTTCTGAAGTCCTTGATCTGAATAATAATATTTTTATGATTTACATGACATTGCATTAGAAAGATGATCCAAAACCACTAAAGCAAATATGTCTTATTGATGTTGAGACAGAACCAGATCCACGCTTGACCACAATCATTTGTAGAAATCAAGTAAATTTGCTAAAAGCTTTCGCTCTCTACTGACAAGCATTTGCCTCTGATATCCTAGTTAGGTTTAACGATTTAGACTATGATTGGTGTTTTATTATGGAGAAAGCATATGGGGTGAATGCTGAGAAAATGGACCAAATTGATTTTTTTTTAAAAAAAAAGTTTCTAAGTAAAATAGATGTAGATTTGGTCATTTGATTCAGATCATTTGTTATTTCAAAAAAAATTTTTTGTCGATTTGGTCTTTTTTCCCAGCACTCATCCCATATCATCTTAACATACTTGAATAGATGTAGAAGTGAATGATAGGAAAGTTCTAAACAAAGAAAGAAATTCTAAAGTGGTAATATCGTGAAAAGATAGGAGCGAAATCTGAAATAATTTCAAGATGAAAGGAATGAAAAAGAATATAGATGAAGAAAGAACCATATGGGATCAGATTAAGAGATCGAGGAAAAGATAGATTATATAGAGCAATTAAGATCAAAATTACTGCAGAAGAGGATTTCTTTTCCAGTTTTCTTAAATTGCCAGGTTGCATATCAATTGATATTTGAGTGTGTTTCAAAAAAACATTACCCCCATTCTGAAGTTGAAAAGGAAGGGTAACTTAAATTCTTCTTAAAAAGTGTTAGCCTCGACACTAAAGCTGACATGTCATATGATGAAATGTGAAGAATCTATTCAGAGGCAAAAGAAGATTCTTCTTTAATTGCAAGAAAAATGTGAAAAATAGCTAATTATTATATTATAGATGCATGCATTATGTTGCCAGAAGCTTTTGATAAAGCTAAGTTAAATAAATGATTACAGAAAAGTCGCTTCTATAGCTCATGTATCTTGGTTCGACTCACATTATCACACAAATAGAATGAAGGTACAAAACCTTCTGGGTGCTTATGCTTTTAAACATGATATAGTATTTAGCTCAAGAGTATATGAAAATATAAAAAAAGAAAAATATCCTGACACATGTTTTTCCATCAAAAAAGAAAATTGAAATGAGAAGACCTGTAACGGGATTAGACTTTACCTCATTATATTTCAGTCTCATCATGGCTTATAATCTCTCTTCAAATAAAATAATACTAACACATAGAGAGGCTGATATTGCGAAAAAAAATGTAAATATTTTACATAAGATTGAGTTTCCATTCAATAACTGCACCGTTCAAGCTTGAAGTGTAAAACATGATAATCAATTCAAAAAGAAAGGCTTATTTCCTGTTGTATTAGAGGATTTATTTAATAAAAGAATAGAGCTTAAAGCACATCTTGTTCCACTAGGAAAGAAAAAGCTACAACTTGAAAAGATAATAAGTTCAGATAAAAAAAAGGCAAAAGGATTCTGAAAAGCTTAAATTTGAAATATTCATCTGTATGTTTCGATTATGATTATTCAGATTCAAAACAAAAAGCTTTGAAGGTATATATAAACACTTTTATGGGAAGGCAGATAACTCAAAATCTCCAATCTTTCTTCATGTGGAGAAATTATTTCAGCAGGAAAATATAACCTTAATCTTGTCGCAGAATTCGTAACAAAAAAAGAGTTTGGAATAAAATATGGTGATACCGATTCTTTATATCTTACCTACCCAGATAAGTATTATAAAAAATGCAATAAAGTCTTCTCCAGAAAAGATCTTTCTAAAGAAGTATACTGGATTAAAATGGTCAAAATTACTATGATTGTGATGAAAAGCTTGTGTGATCAAGTAAATGCTTATCTTAGGATAAAAATGTCATATCTTATCTTAAGATAACATATGAAAAAATATTATTTCCTGTCTGCTTCACTGGCAAGAAAATATATTTTGTGTATCACATAAAGAGGTAGTCAATTTTAAGCCAGATGATCTTTTTATGAGAGGAATTAATACTGTGAAACAAGGGAATTCTGAGCTCTTCAGGTTTATTGGAAAAAAGATTATGTGGAAAGTAATAGGTATCAATAATACACATTTAATTCATAAAATTGTTGAAGATGCTCTCTAGAATGCTAGATTTAAGCGGTGGGATTTTAATCAGTTTATTGCAATGTCTAAATAAAAGGCTAAAGGAGACCTTGCATGCAATAAAATCTTTATGGAGTGGATGAGAGAAAGAATAGCAAGCAGAAAAAAATATAAAGATCTCTGATTCTGGAGAACGCTTTAGCTAAATCATATTGAATAATGGTCCTTATTATAAAAAAGATGATTTAAAATCGATAAGAAAAGGTGATTACATGAAGTTTCCAAAAATTGCAAAAAGTAGTAAGGTGAGTATGATATATGAGCGGTTTGCTAGAAAAATGGGACTCTAAGAAATTTTTATTAAAATTTTAATTTTTATTGCATTTTAATTTTTGATAATGTTAGATTAAAATGCAACATATATTAAATTTTTAATAAAAAATGCTCAGAGTCCTATTTTTCTAGCAAACTTCCCATATATTAATATTAATGAAATTAAGGAGTTCACAATAATAGGAACAGCTAAAACTACTTTTGTGTTACCTAATTGCTTCATAACCCTTTACTCGAAATATACTTTTCAGAATTTGTTGGTTGATTATGAATGGATTGATTGGGTAGGGTATCTGTCTGACTTCTCAAAACTATCTCATCCCAAGGTAATAGCTCTTGTAAAGCCTCTAATATATTTTTTCTGGCAAAACTTTTATCGAATTTCATAACTTTATCTTTAAGATTATACTTATAGATGAGAGGTCTTAAATCATTACTGACCCAATCTGATGAATCATTTATAGGTAGAGGTAGAGGATTAGAGAGATCTACTATTTCATTATGTGAAGCGTCTCTTGGTTTTTTTTTTGAAATTATTTCTCAAAGGTGAGAATTTTCATCTATTAACTTTAATCGCCCTGAAGACAGAATATTTATTTTTCATTTGTATATGCTATCTGATGACTCTTTTCCTTTTTCCATACATTCTATTTCATAATTTTTTGAATTTAGACCCTCCTTTACCCATTCTAATTCAAGCCTAAAAAAATCAATTTCAGATGAATTTATTTAGGCTGACTCCTCTATTAGTCCTCCCACTATATGCGAATCGCGTTCTAGTTCCAGATCTAACAACTTACCTTCCAATTCAACTACCTTAGCTTCAAGAAAAAAGATCTTGACCTTATCAGCAGATGAAGTTTTCTGCGTCAAAGTCACTTCTCTCTTTAGTGTTTTAATATTTGATTTGAGTGACTTGATTTTGGTAAAATAATTGGCTCGTTCTGCTTTATGCTCACATTGACTTTCAGAATGAGACTTCTATTCAGAAGTAAATTGGGATCTAAGTTTAGTATAACTGGTTAACTTTATTTTCAATATCAGCATAAATTTGATGGAACTCCTTTTCTCATCAATCATACTTATTTACTAGCTTTTTACTGAGATTATTAATCTCAAAGTTAAATTTGGTAACAGATCTTAATTTTTTTTAAATTCTTACTCATATGCACTATCCAACTGATGTCTCCTTTTATTGATATTTTTTAGTGTATGCACATTGGATATAATCTTAGCATGGTTATATAGAAGAAGAAAAATGGGTGAATAAAATTTCACCCAAATATTAATCAATAATTTAGCCCACCTTTTTGCATATTAATAACAACGTTCTCCAATAATAAATATCACTTTTTATCATTCTTTACTATTCTAAAACAAATAAGTAATGTTGTTTATCATTTTTTATTGTTCTAAAATATTGCTAAAAATACTGGAGGATTAATGCCTATCCAATTTTAAAAACTCATTATCAATGAGATGCCAGTGTTTTAACATCAAAGCAGGTCAAAGAAATCAGAAACCTTAAAAATAAGGTTTCTGCATTTATGATAGTAAGGACTATTATATCAATAAAAATTGCATCTCTGATATATAGAATGATAGTGAATGTCTGCAACAGAGTGGAAAATATGTATTAGCTGATATGCTTCCAAAGACATCTAGCCTCAATGAAACTGATAGCAAGAATAAAAAAACTGGAGAGACTAAGCTGAAAGAAAATCCAAGTCTAAGTCCGTTCGTATTTCTGAATCACCTATTACTCAAATGGCTTCTTTAGGATTGATTCAATCAATCTCTATAAATTTAGAAAGCTCAAATATAAATAAAGAGGAATTTTATGCATTGCATGAGAAGGTGGTAGAAAGGAGCATAAAAAATATAGTGAATCTGAAAAATAGATTAGAAAAATAACTCATTTATTCCCATTTTTTTCTCATATTCATTCGAAAAATAATAACCTATCAAGGTACACTATCAGTATAAGTTATTAGGGTAGACTATCTCCTGCAGTACTAAAGGTACAAGAGAGGGGATCAATGAAAAAAAGTTCACTATAGCATATCTGTAATTTTTCACAATACTTATTGATTTCTGCATTATACTTAAGAGTACTATATAGTATTTTTTTTGAGCTCCTCATAGCTCACTTTTTTTTTAATATATCATTTTCACTTAAGTCTTATGAAATTCTATCTGGAGTTGAGAAAGCATTACATTCAGAAGTAGTAGTCACATAGTTTACCTCAAGTTTATTCTTGATCCTATGCATATTAATTGGTATAAAAATTTTCTTACCATTATACTCTAGTCTCAATTCCCATTTTGATGTAAGCAAATTATAATTATATTTATCAAGAAGTGTGTTTGGCAAAATAAGCATTAATTTAGGGTATTCGACTACTGCAAAATCGGCATATATGATACATTCAGGAGCAAAATTTACTGGAATATTTCTAACAATTCTGAGGGATTCTGTGAGAGTAGTAACAATATCTCTAAGATCATGTCTTACTTTTGTATCAATTTCTAGCTTTGATCATTTAGCGATATCCTGAGACATGATCGAAAAATTAGCATCAGGATCGACTATGCCCGTCGGAATCACTAGACACTTAATTTTACATTTAACAGTGATAACATCCGTGATGGATTCTTTTCTTTGAACAAAGTCTATCTCCATAGGATCATCCAAAAATTCTTCCTTCTCTAGGTCTGATAAAATGTCTTTGGTAATTAGAGACTTATTGTTCTGAAACTCTATCCTCTCCTGATAGAAGGCACTTGTTTTGGTGTATCAGCTTTATTGGAACCGGAAATAGAATCTTGAGAAATCAATGCAGAAAAAATTAATTTAAGTTCACTTTGGAGAATTTTACGAATAGTTTTTTTCAGAGTGCTTCGTTTAGCTTTACTAGATCTATTTATTAGCTTCGAGAAATTTACTTTACTAATCTGTTTAGCAGATTTAACCAAAGATGTTATACTATTGAACTTGTTTTTTTAGAGCATTACTTAGACAGTAATTTCTTGGAACTAGATTTCTTAAAGCTAGACTTCTGCTTTACTTTTTTTATCTTAGCCATATTAACATTAAGCTTACCTTCATAATCAGAAGAATCAGAAGAACTTGAATCAGAATCAGAATTATCACTGATAAGATATCAGAAGTAGAATCTGAATTTGAATCTAAGATCAGATCTAAAGTAGTATAATTAATCTTACTTTTTTTAAACTTCTTGTTTTTCTTTTTCTTTTTCTAAGAGCATTTGCAAGAATTATGATCAGTTTTACCACAAATAGAACATTTATGTTGTATTTTACAGCCTTTTTAACTGCTTTAGCCACATGTAACTTTAACTGCCTTTTTGTGAACTCAGAAAGTTCATTATCAGAATTAATCTCAACCTTCTTATTTGGCTTTAGCAGTAAAGTAGGATTAGGAATAGGAATAAATTCTGGGATTTTTCTCGTAATCCATGATAAAAATCTGCCTATATTCTCATCTCGTAAATTTTTATGCGTTCCTGCAGGTTGTAGTTAGAATTGCGATGAAGCCACTTGTTGAGGCTATTGAGGCTGTTGAGGTTCTGAGGATGCTATTTTGTTTTTTACTAAGCTCTTGATTTCATTTTTAGTCATCTCTGATCTATTAGTATCTGCATATGGATTGACCGCAGAAAAATTTGAAAAGAAAATGATGCACTTTTTTGAGATAATATAAATTTTTCTGCTTCAGCTAGAGTTATTGTAATATTATCCAGTGTATCATGAAATTTAGCCATTATTCAAAGATTATATTGATTCATCAGAGACAAACCACAAATAAATTGCTCTCTTTGCTATTTAGAAGTTATTTCAGCTAGTTTACTAATCTTTTTAATTCTAGTGGAGAATTACTCAACTGACATATCGCCCTGCATTAATTGACCAAAAACTACCATTTGTCTTAAGTATTCAACTGTTGTATAAGAAATTCTAAACAGGTATAAAAGTTGACCAAGCTAAATACCAGAAGCAATAGTAATAGCAGGAAGATCATCTCTAGCATTAGGCGTTACTAGTGCATTATCTACGGGTTTGCCACCAGATAAGCTATAGATCAGTCTTCATTACATGTTTCATCCAGAATTATATCAGCACCTGTTATGACTCCTGCTCTAATTTTACCAATTTCGGTGATCACCTTACCTTAGAATTCTTCAACAGTATTCAAACCACCAATTTGATTACCACCATTTTTGGCACCTATTTCTTAAATAGCAGTTAAAGTAAGTACTCCCAAGTTGTTTGAGAGATTATTGCATCTCCAATTTTTACCTTTGATACGAGTTAAATAAAAATTCAATACATCATCTGCAAGGTATGATACTACTAATCCAAATGCCTCTTCTCTTTCGGAGACCTGACCTGCATCAGATGCAACATTTATTTGACTAGCTATTATATATCTTTGCATGTCTCTAAGCTAATCTTCAGGATCCTCTCCAGGACAACCATAAAATATTAGGAATCTGTATCCTACCATTCCTGATATATTTAGTAGATTATTCTGTAATGCTAAAATTTCTCTCTATAAATTAAATATTATTTAATATTCTTCATGTATCTTATATTCCACTTCTCATATCTATCAAAAAGCCAATCTCATATATTTTAGTACCCTCCTATCACCTTGATATTTATGTAGTTGAGCTTTTAGTTATC